GAGAAAGAAATAGAAGCTTCAGAGGACAGCGATCAAGTGGTGGAAACAAAAATAACAGATCCCAAAACAGAGGCCAGAAACGGAGTTTTAGTAAAGCATTTCGTCAGTAATTTAGAGGATTTATATGGCAAAAACAATTGTGTTTGTCAACATTGAACTGAATATTAGTTTTAATACAAAATTAAAAGCACATTGTATTTCCTTCCTGACCACTTGCCCAGTACCCATCTCTTCCAGAGAAAGAAGTTTAATCTGAATTATTTCATATGATGGTTATCATTTCTAACTTTATTGCTACTTCTGTATCAGGTTTTCCTTTTGAAAAGATGTATGAATTCATTACATTTTATTCTAATGTATTGTCTATAGATTACAAGGTAAAATCAAGCATGTATCTGCCTATACTTTTTCAAAGTGACCTGTCTTTATACTTAAAAGTCTCTTAATAGTGTCCTTCCCTAAATTTCTATGGGGAATGCAACAGTCCTTGGAGAAGCACTTTGAGTAGTCGAAGCTTTGCTGTGTAATTGCTGTTCCTCAGCTGTCTGCCTAACCGTGGTCTTATGTTGAGAATTAATACTGAGCAATGTTTTGAAACAAGATTTCAAAGTTAGCTAGGATGTAACAGTTTATGTTAGCATATGATCTCGTTTAAAGGATGGTGATGCATTTGGTAGGAGACATTATATAGTTAGCCATTGTGTGCATTTTGATACATTTTTAGCTTCTCAGTATAAGGTGATTCATGCTTCAGTGAATTCTTCACAGATTTTATCCATCTATGTATGTGTGTGTATATATAAAGAAGTATTTTAGAAAGGAAGTATCCCTGAGGAGTTCCATACAGGTAAGATGGCCCCATAGCTTTCTTCATAAGTAAGGAGGGTGCATGAATGGTGCTTGATGATGATGTATTCCACTTACTATTGGAAGATTAACATTATTTACCAAGAAGGAATTAAGGGAGTAGGGGCCGGAGATTTGCATTGCTGAGTCAAAAAACCCACTCAAAATATTTTTCACATGCAAGAAGGAAACCGTTTGTATCTGTTGAGGGGGAAGAGAAGAACCAGGAACAATACATGCCAAAGCATTTTTTTTTTAAACTAAGGTATCATTAATAAACGATCTTACAAAGTTTTCACAGGAACAACATTGTGGTTTCAGCATTCACCCATCCCCCACTCCCGCCTCCACTATTGCAGTCACTTGTCTATCAGTGTAGTAAGATGCTATAGAGTTACTAGTCTTCTCTGTGCTGTATTGCCTTCCCCAAGACTTACATATATTGTGATTGCTAATTATAGTGCCCCTTAATTCCCTTCTGCCTTTCTCCCCTTCCTACCCTCTCCACCCCCTTCCCTTGGTTACCACTAGTCCCTTCTTGGAGTCCGTGAGTCTGCTGCTGTTTGGTTCCTAAGGTTTTGCCTTGTTATATGCTACAAATGAGTGAAATCATTTGGCACTTGTCTTTCTCTGCCTGGCTTATTTCACTGAGCATAGTACCCTCTAGCTCCATCCATGTTGTTGCAAAATGGTAGGATTTGTTTTCTTAAGGCTGAGTAATATTCCATTGTGTATATGTACCACATCTTTGTCCATTCATCTGTTGATGGACACTTAGGTTGCTTCCGTATCTTGGCTATTGTAAATATTGCTGCGGTAAAACTGGGGTGCATATACTAAAGCATTCTTTTAATGGTGAAAACTGAATGGGTTATTAGTGTTTCTAGAGGTTAACTTCTGATGTGCAGACTGGGATTTTTAGGTAGAATGATGCAAATTAGTTTCTCAAAGGCCTAGTTCCTATAGTAGCAATGTAGGATCTGTTTCTATTAGACTGCTATTCTATTGAAAGGTTTTGGCTGCTTAGAGACTTCATCTGAAGACAGACTCTAGGTGGTTACTTTAAGTTGTTGCTTTGAGAGAACTAAAGAACTTAATATAGTAGCCCTGGCCAGATAACTCTTGAGTTCTCAAATACTTCTCTGGGAAACTTTCTGCATGGTGCAGGAGCTCAGGTGTGGCATTGTCTTCTCACCTTAACTCCTAGAAATTCTGTACTGAGGATCTCAGGGAATAAACATGCTAGAAGTTAAAATACATGGCCTGTCTTGTTCTCATTTAATTATTTTGAACAACTGAAATCTTTCTTGGCCCTGGTTTCTTTTCCTTGATTAGGTTTTTATATCTAATTTTCTTCACCTAATCACTTTACACTAAGACTCAGATAGCCAACTCAACTCTGACTCTTGAGTCAATGTCCTTTTTCTATTCAGACTTCAGTTCTATCCTTGAATCCTGACACAATGTTTCTATGTTCTCAGAAATTCTCTTGGCTTTTATTCCTTGATGCACTTGACAGTTTTATTTTTTTTCCTACTCAGTGGCTTCCCATTGAGCCACAGGGATTTAGGGAAAGATACTTGACAGACAACTCATGTGCCTTGTGGATTTCAATTTATTTATTCTACTCCAGTTTTGCTCAAATACTGAGCTTACTTAGTAACCAAAATATTGCACAGTTTGGATAGGAATGGGCACCTTTTGAAGCAGGTTAAAAGGATGCTATCAGTCCTTCAGGAAGGAACAGCTAAAACCTTGATATGGGTTAGCCTAATGAAAAATAATTGGGTATAAATCAAGAGTAAGGGAAGATGAATGGAATTTCACTTATCGTTATTTTAAAGAAAATGTGGCCGTTTTAATAAGTGAAGCTCAAGTTTCTTCTGGATCCTGGACTTCAAACCATATAATATAATTAGCCACTGTTTGGCTTATTGGACTAGCCTGAGAAATGCTATCCTTTTTACTATTTTCTACAGAGAAAATATTTTCCAATCAAATAGCTCAATGAACTTTAAAATACAATCCACTTTTATGTTGGAGCTTCTGTGCTGCAGTTTTCTTTACAGTTGTATATAAAATGTTTTTACTGTAATGAGTTAATGTGTAAAATACTGCTTTATGCAATAATAAAGATATTAGTACTTATAATTTATGGTTTTGGTGACTTTTTCCCTAAAAGTTGAAAATAGTTCAAAATTTTTATTTTAAAAATAATAAATGATAGGTATAAGAGCCCAAACAGGAGAAAAAACAAGCAAGTAATAGCCTGTATCTAAGCTTTATGTGAGCACCTCTTCCAGTAATTTGTTTACAGAATGGGAATCGTACATCCACTTGGTGAATTGCTGTTTTCCTCTCAATTTGTGCATGCTTTTCTGTAAATGTGGATCTATATTTTTGATGACTACATAGCATTTCATCATACAGATGTACCCCTATTTAAGCAGAACTCTAGATGGCCATATTGGTTATTTGTAATTGTTCCATATTATAAGCAACCCTAAAATCAATGTCCTTTGCCTGTCTGATTGTCACTTTAATATAAATTTTCTAAGTAGAATTGCAGGATCAAAGGGAACATATTTTAAATTTTGGTGAAAGTTACTCTCAAATGCAGTACCAGTTTACCTTCCTGCCCATAATATATGAGAAACTGTTTGCCCACAATACTTAGACAATGGATTTTGGCTTCCTTTGGTCAGTTTGTTAGGTGCAAAATAATACTGTGTCATTTTAATTGAGGATCAGTATTTTGCATTTATTGGCCATGCATCTTTTAAAAATTACCTTATATGTGTGTTTTTTCTATTGGGTTCTGTCTTGCTGATAAGAATTCTTTATCAGCAACATAACATACTTTTGGATATTTTCATTGTCTTACAACTGTGGGGTGTTCTGGTGTAAGAAAGTTTTTTTTTAAGTATGGTTGTAACTATCAGTCTTTTATCATTTCTAGTTTTCATGCTTAGAAAAGTATTCCCATCCTCCAAAGTTAAAAAATAATTCAGCTATATCTTTTTCTAGAACTCTTGATTATATTTCAATCTTTATCTGGGATTTGGTTCATTCATTCACCGAGGATCACTAGGGATCTAGCTTTATTCTTCCCACCTTCCAGTGACTAGTAATTCCATACCATTTATTGAATAATCCATTTTTTTTCTCACAGGTTTTTAAATACTGTCTTTATACTTAAATTGTTGGCAATTTTAATACTTTAAAAGTATTGTTACATTCCTTTGGAATTGCATAGAATTGGGAATCTTCTCCAAGAGTATGCTTGTTACTACTTGTAATTTTTTTTTTAAAGTTTAATTTTGAAATAATTTTAGACCTACAAAAATTGTGCAAAACTGGTAGAAAAGATCTTGTATATCTCCACCCAGTTTCCACCAGTGTTAACATTTGTGTAACCATGATATGGTGATCAAAATCAGGATATTAACATGAAGGGTGCCATCCTGTAGATACTTCTTGATGGTTGCTTTTTTATATTAAAGAGTACCTGAAATTCACTCCACACCAGATCATAGAAATCTTACTTTTTTTTTTGTTTTACAACTGCATACTCTTATTCTCTTTCCACCCCACTCATATCTATTTTCTTGCCTAACAGTTTCCCGTTTGGGGATAATGAAATGTTCTGGAATTTTAGATAGTGGTGATGGTTGCAAACCTTGTGACTATACTAAAAATATCCCTGAATTGTATACTTTAAAATAGAGAATTTTATGGTATATGAATTATATGTCCATTTTATGAACACGTAAATGCATGTGATATATTTAGTTAGCTTTACTAGAAACTTAAGAAGGTGTATGCTTTTCTCTTTTTAATTGAAATTTTTGAGAATTGTCAGATCATAAGTAGTTGTAAGAGATAATACAGAAAGATGGTACACTTTACACAATTTCCCCCAAGAGTAACATTTTTACAAAACTATCATATACAGTTGGGTTGCTAACACTGGCACAATCCACCTTTCTTACTCAGAGTTTCCTGATTTTACTTGTACTAATTTTTGTGTGTGTATGGGTGGACGGACGGGGGCACGATATGGGGAGGTGGATGCTTTTAGGGAGAATTTTTCCAAAAATACTTCAGAAACACGAGGGCAAGTGTTTATCAGTTAGTTTTAGAGACTTTAATTTGTTCCCCCTTCTTCTATAAGGGCTTTGTGACCATGATCTTGAAGTGCTCAATTGAAATGCCAAACATTAGTTATGCTTGGAAAGAACTTAAAGAGCAACTGGGTGAGGAAATTGATTCCAAAGTGAAGGGAATGGTGTTTCTCAAAGGAAAGCAGGTAAGGAAGGCTGGGGCTTTTGTCACGACCTCGCTTGGTTCAGTAGCTTTATGTGGGCAGTAACACTGTATGGTGGCTTCTCCCAGTCCTAACAGGGAGATGCTGCATTTTTCTACTATATATATAGTCTTCCCTGGGCAGTGTCATCCATGACCCTCTGTTGCCACTGAGTCACTGACAACAGCCCACGTGTATCTCTAGCCTGAATCATCTGCAGGCAGTATCAGACCTGAAGATCCAGCTGCTTCCCTAACATCTCCATCCAGATGGGGTTTATTAAACAACTTAAAACTAATTCAAAATTTAAAAGCTTTTTTAATCCTTGGCCTTTTGCTATTGTGCTTTTGGGAGGTATCATGTCTAGGCCTTGGTCTAAAATCCATCTAAAATTAATACCTGGGTGGTTGTTTTTGTATATGATACCTGCTCTTTTGCAGTATCACTTACTGTGCATTGTGTAATTCTAGTCAAAGGCTGGTTTAACTTGCATTTGTTTTGTTTTCTAGGGTGTTTGCTTCGATGTGCCCACTGCAGCAGTGCCAGAAATACAGGTGTCTTTTCTTTTGGATTTTGCAGTTACCGTATCTAGATTTTCCGTTATTGAAAATACAGAATAATAGAAAGGGAAACAACAGCTATAGGCCCTTTACTAAAAGTTAAGAATTAAATTCTAGTATTTTTTTCTCCTTTCCTTTTTATTCTGCTAGTTTTCTCATCCAGTCTGCCAGTTTTCCTTTATTTCTTACCACAGAGTTGTGAGCAATACCCAGCTTCTCGTTATATATTAATGGGGTTTACATAGGCATTTAATTGCTGTGTTTTCATTCAGTATTGCTGTGAGAAGTGTGTTTGTACAGGGTGTATTTATATGTTTACTACCTGACAGCTATGGGTGCTCTGTAGCAAAAGCATTGAGTGTGTGATACAGTGATGATGGTAATTTTCATAGGGAAATTTATTTTCCCACACTTTAGCAACTCTTAACTTTTTGGGCAGGAAGGTTAGTATTTTTGACTAGTGACCTTTTAAGCACTTAGGTTACCAGTCTACTTTTTCTTTAGAGAAAGGGCAAAACTGTCATCTTTCTCATGCCTTTCCAAACCAAATTCAATAAAAATCAAAGCAAGTAAAAACAAAACCATTTCTCAACAGGAAAAATGGCATGATTCACGGCGCTGGCAGCTCTCTGTGGCCACAGAGCAACCAGAGCTGGAAGGACCACGGGAAGGATACCGAGGCTTCAGGGGACAGCGGGAAAGCAGCCGAGGCTTCAGGGGACAGCGGGATGGAAACAGAAGCTCCAGGGGACAGCGAGAAAGAAATAGAAGCTTCAGAGGACAGCGATCAAGTGGTGGAAACAAAAATAACAGATCCCAAAACAGAGGCCAGAAACGGAGTTTTAGTAAAGCATTTCGTCAGTAATTTAGAGGATTTATATGGCAAAAACAATTGTGTTTGTCAACATTGAACTGAATATTAGTTTTAATACAAAATTAAAAGCACATTGTATTTCCTTCCTGACCACTTGCCCAGTACCCATCTCTTCCAGAGAAAGAAGTTTAATCTGAATTATTTCATATGATGGTTATCATTTCTAACTTTATTGCTACTTCTGTATCAGGTTTTCCTTTTGAAAAGATGTATGAATTCATTACATTTTATTCTAATGTATTGTCTATAGATTACAAGGTAAAATCAAGCATGTATCTGCCTATACTTTTTCAAAGTGACCTGTCTTTATACTTAAAAGTCTCTTAATAGTGTCCTTCCCTAAATTTCTATGGGGAATGCAACAGTCCTTGGAGAAGCACTTTGAGTAGTCGAAGCTTTGCTGTGTAATTGCTGTTCCTCAGCTGTCTGCCTAACCGTGGTCTTATGTTGAGAATTAATACTGAGCAATGTTTTGAAACAAGATTTCAAAGTTAGCTAGGATGTAACAGTTTATGTTAGCATATGATCTCGTTTAAAGGATGGTGATGCATTTGGTAGGAGACATTATATAGTTAGCCATTGTGTGCATTTTGATACATTTTTAGCTTCTCAGTATAAGGTGATTCATGCTTCAGTGAATTCTTCACAGATTTTATCCATCTATGTATGTGTGTGTATATATAAAGAAGTATTTTAGAAAGGAAGTATCCCTGAGGAGTTCCATACAGGTAAGATGGCCCCATAGCTTTCTTCATAAGTAAGGAGGGTGCATGAATGGTGCTTGATGATGATGTATTCCACTTACTATTGGAAGATTAACATTATTTACCAAGAAGGAATTAAGGGAGTAGGGGCCGGAGATTTGCATTGCTGAGTCAAAAAACCCACTCAAAATATTTTTCACATGCAAGAAGGAAACCGTTTGTATCTGTTGAGGGGGAAGAGAAGAACCAGGAACAATACATGCCAAAGCATTTTTTTTTTAAACTAAGGTATCATTAATAAACGATCTTACAAAGTTTTCACAGGAACAACATTGTGGTTTCAGCATTCACCCATCCCCCACTCCCACCCCCACTATTGCAGTCACTTGTCTATCAGTGTAGTAAGATGCTATAGAGTTACTAGTCTTCTCTGTGCTGTATTGCCTTCCCCAAGACTTACATATATTGTGATTGCTAATTATAGTGCCCCTTAATTCCCTTCTGCCTTTCAGCCCTTCCCACCCTCTCCACCCCCTTCCCTTGGTTACCACTAGTCCCTTCTTGGAGTCCGTGAGTCTGCTGCTGTTTGGTTCCTAAGGTTTTGCCTTGTTATATGCTACAAATGAGTGAAATCATTTGGCACTTGTCTTTCTCTGCCTGGCTTATTTCACTGAGCATAGTACCCTCTAGCTCCATCCATGTTGTTGCAAAATGGTAGGATTTGTTTTCTTAAGGCTGAGTAATATTCCATTGTGTATATGTACCACATCTTTGTCCATTCATCTGTTGATGGACACTTAGGTTGCTTCCGTATCTTGGCTATTGTAAATATTGCTGCGGTAAAACTGGGGTGCATATACTAAAGCATTCTTTTAATGGTGAAAACTGAATGGGTTATTAGTGTTTCTAGAGGTTAACTTCTGATGTGCAGACTGGGATTTTTAGGTAGAATGATGCAAATTAGTTTCTCAAAGGCCTAGTTCCTATAGTAGCAATGTAGGATCTGTTTCTATTAGACTGCTATTCTATTGAAAGGTTTTGGCTGCTTAGAGACTTCATCTGAAGACAGACTCTAGGTGGTTACTTTAAGTTGTTGCTTTGAGAGAACTAAAGAACTTAATATAGTAGCCCTGGCCAGATAACTCTTGAGTTCTCAAATACTTCTCTGGGAAACTTTCTGCATGGTGCAGGAGCTCAGGTGTGGCATTGTCTTCTCACCTTAACTCCTAGAAATTCTGTACTGAGGATCTCAGGGAATAAACATGCTAGAAGTTAAAATACATGGCCTGTCTTGTTCTCATTTAATTATTTTGAACAACTGAAATCTTTCTTGGCCCTGGTTTCTTTTCCTTGATTAGGTTTTTATATCTAATTTTCTTCACCTAATCACTTTACACTAAGACTCAGATAGCCAACTCAACTCTGACTCTTGAGTCAATGTCCTTTTTCTATTCAGACTTCAGTTCTATCCTTGAATCCTGACACAATGTTTCTATGTTCTCAGAAATTCTCTTGGCTTTTATTCCTTGATGCACTTGACAGTTTTATTTTTTTTCCTACTCAGTGGCTTCCCATTGAGCCACAGGGATTTAGGGAAAGATACTTGACAGACAACTCATGTGCCTTGTGGATTTCAATTTATTTATTCTACTCCAGTTTTGCTCAAATACTGAGCTTACTTAGTAACCAAAATATTGCACAGTTTGGATAGGAATGGGCACCTTTTGAAGCAGGTTAAAAGGATGCTATCAGTCCTTCAGGAAGGAACAGCTAAAACCTTGATATGGGTTAGCCTAATGAAAAATAATTGGGTATAAATCAAGAGTAAGGGAAGATGAATGGAATTTCACTTATCGTTATTTTAAAGAAAATGTGGCCGTTTTAATAAGTGAAGCTCAAGTTTCTTCTGGATCCTGGACTTCAAACCATATAATATAATTAGCCACTGTTTGGCTTATTGGACTAGCCTGAGAAATGCTATCCTTTTTACTATTTTCTACAGAGAAAATATTTTCCAATCAAATAGCTCAATGAACTTTAAAATACAATCCACTTTTATGTTGGAGCTTCTGTGCTGCAGTTTTCTTTACAGTTGTATATAAAATGTTTTTACTGTAATGAGTTAATGTGTAAAATACTGCTTTATGCAATAATAAAGATATTAGTACTTATAATTTATGGTTTTGGTGACTTTTTCCCTAAAAGTTGAAAATAGTTCAAAATTTTTATTTTAAAAATAATAAATGATAGGTATAAGAGCCCAAACAGGAGAAAAAACAAGCAAGTAATAGCCTGTATCTAAGCTTTATGTGAGCACCTCTTCCAGTAATTTGTTTACAGAATGGGAATCGTACATCCACTTGGTGAATTGCTGTTTTCCTCTCAATTTGTGCATGCTTTTCTGTAAATGTGGATCTATATTTTTGATGACTACATAGCATTTCATCATACAGATGTACCCCTATTTAAGCAGAACTCTAGATGGCCATATTGGTTATTTGTAATTGTTCCATATTATAAGCAACCCTAAAATCAATGTCCTTTGCCTGTCTGATTGTCACTTTAATATAAATTTTCTAAGTAGAATTGCAGGATCAAAGGGAACATATTTTAAATTTTGGTGAAAGTTACTCTCAAATGCAGTACCAGTTTACCTTCCTGCCCATAATATATGAGAAACTGTTTGCCCACAATACTTAGACAATGGATTTTGGCTTCCTTTGGTCAGTTTGTTAGGTGCAAAATAATACTGTGTCATTTTAATTGAGGATCAGTATTTTGCATTTATTGGCCATGCATCTTTTAAAAATTACCTTATATGTGTGTTTTTTCTATTGGGTTCTGTCTTGCTGATAAGAATTCTTTATCAGCAACATAACATACTTTTGGATATTTTCATTGTCTTACAACTGTGGGGTGTTCTGGTGTAAGAAAGTTTTTTTTTAAGTATGGTTGTAACTATCAGTCTTTTATCATTTCTAGTTTTCATGCTTAGAAAAGTATTCCCATCCTCCAAAGTTAAAAAATAATTCAGCTATATCTTTTTCTAGAACTCTTGATTATATTTCAATCTTTATCTGGGATTTGGTTCATTCATTCACCGAGGATCACTAGGGATCTAGCTTTATTCTTCCCACCTTCCAGTGACTAGTAATTCCATACCATTTATTGAATAATCCATTTTTTTTCTCACAGGTTTTTAAATACTGTCTTTATACTTAAATTGTTGGCAATTTTAATACTTTAAAAGTATTGTTACATTCCTTTGGAATTGCATAGAATTGGGAATCTTCTCCAAGAGTATGCTTGTTACTACTTGTAATTTTTTTTTTAAAGTTTAATTTTGAAATAATTTTAGACCTACAAAAATTGTGCAAAACTGGTAGAAAAGATCTTGTATATCTCCACCCAGTTTCCACCAGTGTTAACATTTGTGTAACCATGATATGGTGATCAAAATCAGGATATTAACATGAAGGGTGCCATCCTGTAGATACTTCTTGATGGTTGCTTTTTTATATTAAAGAGTACCTGAAATTCACTCCACACCAGATCATAGAAATCTTACTTTTTTTTTTGTTTTACAACTGCATCGTATACCTGTGCATAAGTATTTTCATACTGTTGGAGCTCTATCTTCCGGATAGACTCCTAGAATTGGGATGGCTGGGGCAAAAGGTAAGCGCATATGTAGTTTTTTAAATTGTGTATTGGCAAATTTCCCTGTGGAGGGGAACTTTTTTCCTTGCAATTTTATCTTTTGAAGAAGCCAGGCCATTTGTTATATAGATTCTGCCACATTCCGAATTTTGCTGATGCATGCCCATTTGTCATTTAACAAGCTCCTTTTCCCCCTGTATTTAATGTAAATTGATATTTAGGTCTAGAAGGATACACAATGACTAGGTGTCTGTCTTTTGATGTTAACAGCAAGAGATCATGGCTTGAACCCATACTTTCACTATGGTTCTTGCAAAATGGTGATATTCTATCATTTCTTTTTCATTTGTTAGCTGGAATAGCTCTAAAGAAGGAAACTTGCCCTAATCAACACTCAGGTTACCCTGAATGCTATTCTTACAGAAAAGGAAGGATAAGCTTGCTTCTTTCCCTTTACTGTCAGTATTCAGAATTAGAATTGGCTCCCCAGCTTCCTCCAAAGGTAGCCAATGAGTTTTCATTGTTACTGTTGATTCACTATAACATATTACTTTAACAGATATACTTTAACTATTGTAGTTATTGATGCTCATATTGTCCCATCTTTGCCCAAGAAGAGCCTCTTTAAGTTGATAATATTTCAGTCCTTTTGAGCTGACCCTCCTAGTCCTGATAGTTTTCTTGATTTCTCGTGTGACAAGATACCCAGGCTCATCCTGCCCCAGAACCAGAATTACCATTTCTCCTGTTTGCTTATAATGGGAAAGGCTGTCTAGGGCCTGCCATCCGGGAACCAGGACTTATTTTGTGTCTTTATTTTTACATTATTCCTATTTCTATCTAGCTCATCAAATTGATGCTAGATTTTTGTTGTTACGAAAGTGATTTCTTTCCTCCATTGCATCTTTCCTCCAATAAAAAGTTGAATGTTTATTTGTGACTGGCCTGTTTGGGCCTTTTTACCTTTTTTGTGTTCAGTTTTTCCTGTCTCCTTCCCAATCATTACACCTCTTATTTTGTTCTTTTGCCCAGTTGCATTTTCTGGCATTTTCAGATGAATAATACACACTAATGATATAGTCACCTTAGTCTTACTAATTTTCCATTAAGTTTATGTAAAAGGCAAATTACTAGTGCTCTTACTAGTGTGGTGTTTTTCCTGGAATGAACATAACTGATGGACATAAGTTAGCTGTGCTCTGCCCAAACAAGTTAACTTCCTTTCACCACAATATGCCTTATACTATCTATCTCTTCTCATTTTTACCTTTCATGAGCTGAGCTCAGGTAAGTACATTATAGTGATTTGTAATTTATATCTCTCATCAGACAACTTCCACAAATTCTGCTTTATAACATTTCATGGGAATTGAGTGCTCAATATACTGATAAAAAAATAGGCCGAGAGGGAATATGCTCCCCAATTGGCAGCCAAAACTTTTCTATCTCAAGATTCCTAGTCCTATGTCTGTGTGTCTTAGGTTTGTCTTTGTATAGTTTTTTTTCAAAAATCTCTTCTTCTCAAGCTCTATTTTTAGAGGTCAGTGCTATGTGTCATGGTGGTTTATTTATTGAGCTCCTACTATGAGACAGTATATGTCTTGCCAATGGGTTTCAGCCCCAAGCAAGTTCGCTATGGGTTCACAGCTATGGAAATCGACAGCAAAACGTTCTTGGGGTGAAAGGGTTTATTACCCGGCTTGTTCTCCGGCTATAGGTCGAGCACTAACATCTCTGCCTCCGCCCAGAGCACTGGGCCGAGCTCTATATAGCACAATAATAGCTTATTGCCTAAAGGTGTGAAGCGGTAGCCTAGCAACAGGCCAGTTACATCATCAGGTGATTTAAGTTCAGTGAGGATCCTGGCCATAGGAACCCCAGCTTCCCCACAGTATAGCATAATGATTAAAAGTGTGGGCTCTGGAGAAAAACTACCTACTTATTGTACGTGACTTTGGTAAACTATGAATCTCTCTGGATCTCAATTCCTGATCTATAGAATGGGGATAGCAATAGTATCTCACATAGTTGTTCTGAAGAGTATATGGTTTTTATTTATAGACTTATCTGGCTTATAGTAAGTAAGTATCTGCCATTATGAACCATGTGCTAATCCCTTTCCTATTCATGAACCGATATATGCTGAGCATCTGCTATGGTTATTACAGTAGTTTCCTTACAAGTCTCCCTGCTTTCTCCAAGTCCCCCCTTCAGTTTATATTCTGAAAAATCCTGTAAGTCAGATCTTGTCACTCCTTTCTTCAAAGCCATCCAACAGCTCCCACCTCACTCAGAATACCCTGTAGTGGCTTTACAAACCCTACATAACTGGGCCCACATTACTTCTCTGAGTTCATCTCCTCCTGCTCTCTCCATTCTCTGTGTTCCAGCCCAAAGGTTTCCCTGTTCTTGAACACACCAGGCAGCCTCTTGTGTCGAAGTCTTTGTTTTTGCTATTCTGAAGTATACCTCCTGTAATGTCTTTATGGCTTACTCACTTACCTTCAAATATTCACTCAGCTGTTGTCTTCTCAAATAGGCCCTTCCTGACCACCTGTTTAAAATTAGCAACTTGGCCTCACCTGCTAATATACCTTATCTCCTCCTTTGTTTTGTTTTTATAACACTCATCATGTGGTGTTACTATATAATTTATTTAGTGTGTTTAATATCTTTCCCTATTTAGTGTATTTAATATCTTTCCCTAAACTAGGACAGAGGTTTTTATCTGTTTTCAACTGCTAAATTCCCAGAGTCTAGAACAGTGCCTGGAAAATTAACAAGTGCTTTAAATATTTATTGAATGAGTGAATGAATCATTCTAAGTGTTGGGGTCAAGGCACTGGTAGGAAGCCAAACTAGCAGCAAGAGTACCTATTAAAAGTAATTCAGACAATGGTTCTAAACTACTGGAGATGAAAAGTAGATGTGTGGACTGGGAAGTACTTAGTTTTACATTTAAGGATAAGAGAAGAAAGGAGACTGAGTGCAGGAAGTCATCAGCTTAGTGGTTCCATTCTGCCTGAGATGCAGACATGGGAGCAAATGGGGTTTGGGAGGGAGGGGGTATGTGAAGAGGAAGAAAATGAGTTTGGATTTAAACATACTGATACACAAGGGTCAATGGAACATTCAGATGTGGTTGTTCCAGTTGGGAGACATTACAGTCTGGAGCTCCAGAGAGCTCACTGGCTTAAAGACCAAGTTATGGAGTGAGCAGCACAGGCAATGGAAGCCCTGGAAATGTGCAAGATTTTAAAAATTTAGGAAGGAATCCTGAGGAACACTAACATTTAGAGGGACAGACATTTAATTTAATTTACACTTAGATAATTCTGTGGAAATAGTATTATAACTTATGTTTTACTATGAGAAACTTGAAGCTTAGAAAAGTTAACCTGGCGATTGTAAGCAGATCTGAGATTCTAACTTTATGAGCTTCCAAAATCAGTGCTCATTTGTCTATCTCAAAGAACTTTACATTGCTAGCACTTAATAGTTGAAACTTTCTCGGTCCCCCTCTCCCCTACCCCTACCTCAGCATTTGACTTGATAATTTATGAAGGTACGTAATGGAAAAAGCCATGCAAGAGGTGGCTGATCACAGCTCTGGGATTTACTCTTGTGTTACTTTGGGAAGATGTACATATTTTTACAAACTCTATTTCATAGCTGAAGTTAAAATATGTGTCAACCAGTGCTGTTTACATTAATAGTTTTCACTCGAGGCTATATAAATTATGTAGTTATATATTATATATTAATATATGTATATAGTAAAACAGATCCGTGTTGCATTTTTATCCAGTGATGGGCTGGGTTTATACCCCAATGTCAAAGGATTTCTACCTTTCAGCTTATATCAATTAACGACAGTAGTTAGCTAGCTATGTTTGTAAGCAATATTTCCATGTGTTCTGTTAAAGTCAGCAGATAATTTTATGTAAATACAACTCCACCGGGTCAAGCGAGAGATAAATAGCACTGTAGTGGGCCGGGCTGGAGGTGGGACCACCCCATGACAGCTTCATAGCTACGACAATGGTTGCCATGCTGATTCTACGTTTTCCCATTGGTCACCGCCAAACATATTGCGGTTCCCCTGGCAGATTTCATTGGTTACCGTTCTGCAGTGTCCGTAAAGTACCGTAAGTGAAGTGTCGCAAAGCAGGAGGAAGGCGGGAGTCCTGATTGCAAACGTTGAGAAGTCACAGTTGTAACGCTGTAGAGGCCGTTATGGCGAATGCTCCGTGGGCCGAGATTCGTGAGAAATTCCAGGCCGCGCTAGCCTTGTCGCGGGTGGAATTGCATAAGAACCCCGAGAAGGAACCTTACAAGTCCAAATACGGCGCCAGGGTGCTGCTGGAAGAGGTCAAGGCGTTGCTGGGCCCCGCGCCTGAGGACGAGGATGAGCCGCCTCAGGCGGATGATGGCTTGTGCACGGAGGACCACGCCCTGGGGCTGCCGGCTGAAGTGATGGAGGCCGAGCGGCCCATCGCCCAGGGGGCAGTGAGGCTGGCCGTTATTGAGTTCCATCTCGGGGTGAACCACATCGACACCGAGGAGCTGTCGGCGGGGGAGGAGCATCTGGTGAAATGCTTGAGGCTGCTGCGCAAGTACCAGCTGTCGCAAGACTGCGTCTCCCTCTACATCCAGGCGCAGGTGAGAGCCAGTCTGCCCGCTGCTGTCGGCCAGGGGCGAGGGGATAAGAGAGGGCCCCAACTCTTGCCAAGGCCAAAATCAAATGTTATAAGGCACATTGTCCCCACGTTGTTGAAGCTTTGGTATAAGCGGCTGTCACACTACCTCTCCACCGCCCCGCTCCAGCATCGCTTGCTGCTTCCCTTAGACGTTGTCAAAACATTGGTTTCCTGAGACCCCAGCTACATCGTAAAGGCCCTTTCCAACTCTTCTCCACCGGTCCAAATCCTGTTCATTCTGTTAAGAAAAAAATCCAGAGTAATTTAAATCTTAATTTAAGGTTTAAGGAAATTACAAAGAATAACCGGAGTACATTCTTAATTTAAAACAAAATATCTAAAAGTCTTCAGTTTTTGTTCTTGCTATATTCATTACTTTACTTCCCAGGGAATTCTGTCCATTCTTCAAAACCCATTTCAAGACTTATTTCAGATTTTTAGTTAAAACTTTCTTTGGATCATTTTGTTCTGAATTGATCTCTCCCTCCTACTTTGAATCATTACAATATTTACTGTTTCCGTATGATTTAAAGAAATACATCCGATACTTCTCCTCGGGAACATAACACTTCAAAATATAAGTACGTATGTACTCCTTGTATGTGCCAGGTACTTTGCTTAAGTGCACAAACCCTGACATCCAGTAGTACCAGTTCCTAATGCAAGTAATCTAAGGAACATTTCCTAAAATTGATCATATATGTGGTCACAAGGCCTCAAAGAAAAGTCTCAGAATTATAAAGGAAATTATGTAAGTCATATTCTTTTATCTTATCCCAATAAAATTAAAAGCTATATAACAAGAACTATGTCTCTTTTTGCTTATTGTTTATAACCTCAGTACCTGGTATATGGTAGACCATTCTAAATATTTGATGAGTGGATGAGTGATCTAGTGAATTCATAAAGATGTTGAGTTCAGAGAGAACCTCAGTTATTTGAAATTCTCCATACAGCTGCCAAAGATCTAACATTTAGAAAATTTCTTCAGTATCTTAAAAACAGAATCTCCCTTATACAATCTCTGATATTTATTGAATTTTACTGATTTTAATGTGCGTATTCTTTCATATTTTAATCTCTGAAATTGGGATGCATCTTAAAGATTGATTTTGTGTCATAATTTACTTGTTTTCTTGTTGATATAAAATAAATGTGTATCTTTTTAATTAAGGTATCATTGATATATAATCTTATGCACAGGTTTCACATGAGCAATATGTGGTTACTACATCCCCCCCTATTATCAGGTCCCCAGCACATACCCCATTATAGTCACTGTCCATCAACATAGTAAGATACTGTAGAGTCACTACTTGTCTTCTCTGTGCTATACTTCTTTCCCCTTGTGCTACATTCCCCTTATCCCTCTCAGTACCTTTCCCTTTGGTAACTGTTAGTCCATTCTTGGGCTCTGTGAGTCTGCTGCTGTTCTGTTCCTTCAGTTTTTGCTTTGTTGTTATACTCCACAGATGAGTGAAATCACTTGGTACTTGTCTTTCGCCACCTGGCTTATTTCACTGAGCATAATACCCTCTAGCTCCATCCATGTTGTTGCAAATGGGAGGATTTGTTTTCTTATGGCTGAATAATATTCCATTATATATATA